GTAGTAGTCGTCGTGGCAGTCGCAGTCGCAGTCGCAGTCGCAGTCGCAGTCGCAGTCGCAGTCGCAGTCGCAGTCGCAGTCGCAGTCGCAGTCGCAGTCGCAGTCGCAGTCGCAGTCGCAGTAGTAGTAGTAGTAGTAGTAGTAGTAGTAGTAGTAAATGTAGTCGTAGTAAATGTAGTAGTAGTTGTAGTAGTAATTGTAGTAGTAATTGTAGTAGTACTTGTAGTAGTACTTGTAGTAGTACTTGTAGTAGTAGTAGTAGTAGTAGTAGTAGTAGTAGTAGTATTACTAGTAGTAGTAGCAGTAGCATTGGTAGTAGTGGTAAGAATAGCAGATAAGAGTACACCTAGTAATAATCATGATCATAGTAATGGCAGTTCCAACGGCAATGGTAATGGTAATAGAAATAGTACAGGCAGTAGAAAAAGCTGTCTCGTCTAAGAACGATACCATAACATTCAATTGCCATACCGACAATAATTAGCGGTTCCGCATGCCAGGCTGCCAAGCTCGCAAAGCTCTCACAAGAAGTGGATGCCTTGCGTGCAGAAAACTCCATTCTCCGTCAGTCCGTGCTTGAAGCCGACCCAGAGGTGTCTGCCGCCTGGCGGCACTGATTACGATGTCAGAGCAGACTGATTGTAGGGCCGTTGCAACGTGCATAGGGGCTGTTTTTGGGTCATCACATGCCAACCCGATCGAAGGATGCGGATGATGGGGATGGCGACGAAGACCTGCACACCGTGCGCAGAGAACGAGACCAGTATCGGGAGCAGGTCCTGGCAATGACAAAGTTCTTGCATGACTACGGCCGCTCGGATTCGTTGTAATAAAGGTTCCCGAGTCTCTAACAGGGCGACCATACTATGAGGACTACGGTCCCGAAACCCTATGAAAAGGCCCTTTACAAGAGTAAACAAAGCGACAGTACATCAACACAGCGCCCAACCGTTGTCTTGAAGTGTGGCTACTCCCAATGCCGAGCGGCCAACCATGTGTGACCTTAGCCTATCAACGAGGCCTGACTTGGGTGGGCGACAAAGAGCAGGAAGAGGAGCCGATAAAATGTATTATGTATTAAATTATGTATGTATATTCTACATCATATTTTTCTGTGGTCTGCATTCTGTCTGTTTACAAATCGCATGTTCTACAGTATATGTCATATATTCTACAGTATATAGCATGTCGTACATAGTATACATAGCATAAAGTACCTTTTTTCTACATATCTTTTGCTGTATATCAAAATTAACACATGTTATATATATATATATATATATATATTATACTTACTTAGTATAAACCACATATCATGTGTGACAAATTACAGGCTACCTGCTGACATACAGCATATCATCCTACGAACCCTGTTCCAGTCTTTTGAGCCACAAGAAGCCGGGCAACACGACTCTTGAATGTTGACACCCCGAACCTCTCAACCTTTTACATACTTGCACCCTGAACCCTGTGCAGACCCCGCTGCCATCAAGCCTTAAACCTTTACCTCAATCTGTCTCGCGACGCTTACAGGCTTACATCCTAGACTCCAGACCCTCAGGCGGCCCTTTTGTTACCCCAAAAACGAAGACCCTTCGTGACCCCAAGCCCAAACCCTTGGACCTGAAATTGTTAACCTTTGTCTAGCGAGCTAAACTTAAAGCCATAAGACCTGACCGGAGGAAACTGCCCAGCTCAACGAATCCCTGGCGGAGAAGCTCAGCCGACCGACCTCGGCGCAGGTGGACGTGCAGGCCACGGCTTAGGTTTGGGGTTCAAGGCAGTTTAGGGTTAGTTTAGTTTGGGCTTCAGTGCTTCTGGATTCCGTGGGGCTTCAGGGCTTTGGCTTCTTTTTTTGGGTTCAGGGTTTCCGGATTCAGGAGTTGTTGCCGCAGCAGGGGCCTTCACAGCTTCGATATTTCGCAGCTCTCGTCCTTTGTGCACGTGCAATCCTCTGCAAGCCTGCACTCGTCCCAAGCCTTTGACACAGGGGAACAGGGGGGGCACTGATATAGGGGCCCAAGTAATTAACTACCAATACTATTTTGGGGGTTCCTGATTACAAGTAGAGTAGAATGTACCCCCCCCATTTTGATTATTAAGACCCTTATATTACTACAGCAGGACCTTGGCTTGTTCGGCTCTACCCCCCCAACCCGAAGCCCCAACCATTTTAGATTCTGACACTCCAAACCCCCTAGAAAGTGTCAAGCGCCAAACCTCATTCCCAAATCCTGCACCGTAAGCCTTATGAACGCCAAACCGCCAACCCCAAGCCCAAAACCTCCTGCTCTGGTCTACTCTTTACGAACCACAACGGGATGGTATTACAAAGCCCCCTAAACCCCAAACCTTTCACGTCGTTGGTGCACTGAGTGCAAACAGGGTGTCTATCTCATCTGAAACAGATGTTCCTGCTCTTGTGGGCCGACGCAAACAGGCGTTCAACAACAACTCTAAGCCTTAAGCCCTAAACCCCAAAGCCCAAAGCTTAAACCCTGAAGCCTAAAGCTTAAACCCTAAACCCAAAACCCGAAACCGACCCTAGACCTTGCAGCGCCTGCCAGGTCATGTGCGCACGGGTCGAGGAGTTGAATGCCTTGGTCCGGCAGGCTCGGCCAAAAGCCACGATCCTGATTTAGGGGATTTAAGGTTTAGGGTTAAGCGTTTAGGATCTAGGATTTGGGTTCGGAGGGCTTTTATAAGTTTTTATAAGATCCTCATGGCCGCCCACGGGGAACTTCGCAAGCAGGCCTACGTGCAGGCTCGTATTGACTAGTCGCAATTATTTTTAAGTCCTCTTTCGTGCGCTGTCTACGAAGTCCATCAATCCTCCAAGAGCTCCCCCACTCCTACAATTGAATGTGTAAACTGCAGCAACGCCCCCACTAGGAGGGCGCCAAAGTCGTGTCCAATCGCGTTGGGGGCGCCATCCACGTGCCTCGTCTGAGGGTTTGCGGTCTGGGATTTCAGGCACGGGGTCAGTTAGTTCTGGATTATTCTGGGACTTTCGGGGACGTTTGGCTTTGAGGTACGCGTCAGGGTTTGGGCAATCAGAGGCTCAGAGGCTAGGGGTTGAGTTCATCAACTCTGAGGTCAAGAGCCCGAGGCTTTCATCTGTGGAAGCTGCGATGTTTTTGTGGGCTCCAGGCTTCCCAGTGTACGTAACACCTCAAAGGGCGGGGGTCTGCGCATGTAGAGCACTTCAGAAAAACTGAGCCCGATGTCGACCCCAAGTAGTATAAAAGGACTCCCTATGCATCACGATGCCATGGACCTTGGCTTCATGAATGGCAATGCTCGATGCCTCAAATGGGCCTAACCAAACCATGAGTCCTTTTGGGTGATCTTGTTTTGGAGCGGGGCTTTTGTAGTAAGTTCGTATTGGGGTCCTTTTTTTCACCTGAACTTCTCGGTAGGACGAAAAGCTTCACATTCACAAGCCCTGCAGAGAGTCATGCCATCAGATTGCTTCCCAAGAAACCCTGCTCCAATCAGAATACTAAAACCCGGGACAAAACCCTTGTACTCCCAAGAAATCCCAAAATCCGTGTTCAGCTGAATCCTTCGGCTACTCCCCCCAGGTTTAGGGTCTAGGGTTTGGGTTTCGAGAGGTTTACCCATCCTGTAAGGCACGACTTGCCACCGACCAAGCTCCTTTGCCCTTGAGCTTCTTCCAGGCGAGCGATGCCAAAATTAGCTACGGGTTTACGTTTCGAGCTTGGCCAGAAACTGCTTCGGTTTGGGGTTTAGGGCATGTCTAGGGCTTAGGGTTAAGATTGATGCCCTGTCCTGTTATGTCCTGTTGAGGCAACACGCAACTGGTAGGGAGAGGCTCTGAAAAGGGACACGTGCCCATGGATGCTATCATCTTGATACCTCAGACTCAGACCCTGGCGCTGTGTGGCACACGAACACCGGACGAGCTGGGTGCATACGCCCGTATATGGATGTGGGAATAGGTATAGAGTTTGATGTTGGCATAGATATACTGTAATATAGAAATATAAATAGATAAACAACTACAAATACATAAATAAATAAATAAA